CTGTGTGCTTCCTCTGTGTTCTCCCTCTGTGTTCTCCCTCTGTGTGCTCCTCTGTGTTCTCCCTCTGTGTTCTCCCTCTGTGTTCTCCCTCTGTGTGCGTCTCCTCTGTGTGCTTCCTCTGTGTTCTCCCTCTGTGTTCTTCCTCTGTGTTCTCCCTCTGTGTTCTCCCTCTGTGTTCTCCCTCTGTGTTCTCCCTCTGTGTTGTTCTTCTGTGTGCTTCCTCTGTGTGCTTCCCTCTGTGTTCTCCCTCTTGTTTCTCTCCCTCTGTGTTCTCCCTCTGTGTTCTCCTCTGTGTGTTCTCCCTCTGTGTTCTCCCTCTGTGTTCTCCCTCTGTGTTCTCCCTCTGTGTCCTCTTCCTCTGTGTTCTTCTCTCCTCTGTGTTCTCCCTCTGTGTGCTCTCCTCTGTGTTCTCCCTCTGTGTTCTCCCTCTGTGTTCTCCCTCTGTGTTCTCCCTCTGTGTTCTCCCTCTGTGTGCTTCCTCTGTGTGCTTCCTCTGTGTGCTTCCTCTGTGTTCTCCCTCTCTGTTCTCCCTCTGCCTCTGTTCTCCCTCTGCTCCTCTGTGTGCTTCCTCTGTGTTCTCCCTCTGTGTGCTCCCTCTGTGTTCTCCCTCTGTGTTCTCCCTCTGTGTTCTCCCTCTGTGTGCTTCCTCTGTGTTCTCCCTCTGTGTTCTTCCCTCTGTGTGCTTCCTCTGTGTCTTCCTCTGTGTTCTCCCTCTGTGTTCCTCCTCTGTGTGCTTCCTCTGTGTGCTTCCTCTGTGTGCTTCCTCTGTGTGCTTCCTCTGTGTGCTTCCTCTGTGTTCTCCCTCTGTGGCCCTTGAGGCTCCGTGTTACAGACCCTGGATGTAGTAATGGTTGTGGCCTAATAAAAGTCATTATGCAGCATCACACACATCAGCCTGTGTGTGTGTCTGTGTGTGTGTCTCTGTGTGTGTGTGTCTCTGTGTGTGTGTGTGTGTGTGTGTCTGTGTGTGTGTGTGTCTGTGTGTGTGTCTGTGTGTGTGTCTCTGTGTGTGTGTGTGTCTGTGTGTGTGTCTGTGTGTGTGTGTGTCTGTGTGTGTGTGTGTGTATGTGTGTGTTTTCTCTCTCTCCCAAACGTATGATGTGTATAATCCAATTAGGCCTGGCTCACTAACAGCCTGTTATCACGGCCCCTGCACAAAGACACACGACAGGGGCCGCTTTCAAATGCTGCGCTCGCTCCTTCTTCATTTCCTTCTCTCCTTGTCTCCTTCTTTTCTTGTTTCCTTGTTTCCTTCTCTTCTCTCTCCTCATCTTTTTGTCTCATCGTCTTCTCTCTCTTCTCTTTTCGTCTCCTTGTTTTCTCTTCAGCTGGTCACCTTGTCTCCTCGTCTCCTCGCTTCCTCTTCTACTGGTCTACTTGTCTCCTTGTTTCCTCACGGCCCCTGCACAAAAACACACGACCAATGCTACACTCACTCCTTCCTCATTTCCTTTTCTCCTTGTCTCCTTGTCTCCTTTTCTTGTTTCCTTGTCTTCTCTCTCCTCACCTTTTTGTCTCGTCATCTCTGCTCTCCTCGTCTCCTCGTCTCCTCTTCTACTGGTCTACTTGTCTCCTTGTTTCCTCACGGCCCCTGCACAAAAACACACGACAAATACTACACTCGCTCCTTCCTCATATCCTTTTCTCCTTGTCTCCTTGTCTCCTTCTTTTCTTGTTTCCTTGTTTCCTTGTCTTCTCTTTCCTCATCTTTTTGTCTTTTGTCTCATCGTCTCCTCTCTTCTCATCTCTTTGCCTCCTTGTCTCCTCTGTCCTCTCTCTTAGTTTCCTCCTCTCTCCTCATCTCCTTGTCTCCCTGCTACGCTCATTCCTTTCCTTGTCTCCTTGTCTCCTCTCTGCTGTCTCTTCTCATATCCATGACTCCTCTTTTACAGGTCTCCTTGCCTCCTTGTGTTCTTGTTTTCTTGTGTTCTTGTTTCCTTTTCTACTTGTCTCCTCTCTCCTCTCTTCTTGCCTCTTCTACTGGTCTCCTTGTTTCCTCATCTCCTCATTTCCTCCTTTCCTTGTCTCCTTGTTTTCTTGTTTTTTGTTTCCTCTCACCCCGTCTACTCATCTCCTCTCTTCTCATTTCCATGACTCCTCTTCTACTGGTCTCCTTGACTCCTTGTCTCCTAGTCTCCTCACGGCCACACGACAGGAGCTGCTTTCAAATGCTCCGCTTGGTCCTTCTTCATTTCTTTGTCTCCTTGTTTTCTTGTTTCCTTGTTTCCTCTCTCCTCGTCTTCTCATCTCCTCTCTCCTCTCTTCTGGTTTCCTCGTTTCCTCTTCTACCAGGTCTCCTTGTTTCCTCGTCTCCTCATTTCCTCTTCTACTGGTCTCCTTGTTTCTTATTCTACTGGTCTCCTTGTTTCCTCGTCTCCTCGTTTCCTCTTCTACTGGTCTCCTTGTTTCTTATTCTACTGGTCTCCTTGTTTCCTCGTCTCCTCGTTTCCTCTTCTACTGGTCTCCTTGTTTCCTCTTCTACTGGTCTCCTTGTCTTCTTATTTCCTCGTCTCCTTGTTTCCTCTTCTAATAGTCTTCTTGTCTCCTTGTCTCCTCACAGCGACACAACAAGCTGCTTTCAAATGCTCTGCTCTGTCCTTCCTCCTTTTCCTTGTTTCACCATGTCTCCTTGTTTCCTTGTTTCCTTGTCTTCTCTCTACTCGTCTTTTTGTCTTCTTGTTTCTTATCTTACCTTATCTCCTTCTTTGATTGCTTCCTTGTTTCCTTATCTCCTCGTCTTCTCTCTTGTCTCCTAGTCTTCTCCTCTTCCCATCTTGTCTCTCTGATCATCTCTTTGCTTCCTTGTTTCCTCTCTCTTCATCTCCTTTGTCCTCGTCTCCTCTCTCCTTATCTCCTCGTCTTCTCTCCTCTCTTTTCTCTTGGTCTCCTCATCTCCTTCTTTCCTTGTCTCCTCTCTCCTTGTCTCCTTTCTCCTCTCTCCTCATTTCCTTGTCTCCTAACTCTACGTTTTCTCTCTCCTTCTCTCCTCTCCTTTCATCTCCTTGTCTCCTTGCTTCCTAGTATCCTCATCTCCTCGTCTCTCCTCCTCTCTCCTTGTCTCCTCTCTGTTCATTTCCTCTCTCCTCTTCTCTTTCCTCTCTCCTTGCCTCCTCATTACCTTCCTGCAGCGCTTGACCTCTCAAACAAGCAACGCCGTCCCTCTCTCTTCTTGGCTCGTCTCCAAGCAGCAGGCCAAACGTAGCTCAAAGAAAAGTGTCTGTGGAAATCTCCCTCCAGAAAAATAAACTGGTCTCTCTTTGTGTGAATGGAGCGGAGTGAAAGGGTGCTGCATTCAGGGAGTTGTCAGAAATGTGGAAATATTCAGCGCTTTGTGGCTCCTAATGTAACTGGAAGCTGCAGGTGTTTTTGAAGGTCAGATTGGATGTATGCTTGGAGACTAAATAAAATGTCAGACCTGTATAAAGCATATAATAGAGTAAATATACTTAAATAAAAAATGAATTATTTCTATTTGAATTATTTGTATTTGGTGGAATGTCCATTTAAAAAAATTGTATGTGTCATTTCCTCTTCAAAAGGCCCATTTTATGCTATTTTATGATCTATGTTATAATGTTTCCTCATGAAAAACAGACCTGGAGTTGTGTTTTGTTTCATGCTTAACATACAAACCCTGCATAGGTTTTCTGTTTGAGTTCTTCTCTCAAACTAAAAAGTCTGTTCCACCTTGTGACTCCAAACACCTTGACTAGAATCATGTTTTTAATTTCAGATCTGAACTCACGGATAAGCTCTATTCACTCTTGCCAGAAGACGTTTGGAAACATGTGGAGCATGACTTTCAGTGTAGTTACCGACACTGGGCATGTATATAAATAAGCCGCAATAAAACCGTGGATTCAGCAACAGCAGCGTCTTCACAACCTGCCAAAGCTTTTCCACGGGGGACGTGACTCTAATCACATCTTCAGTGTCACTTACAGACAGCTGGTTGTAACTGTTGATTTGCCAAACATAATGGAGTGCTACAATTACACCTTTTTTTGTGATGCGGTCGGTGTATCATACTGTTGTGGTGAAGAGGGAGCTGAGTCGAAAGACGAAGCTCTCGATTTACTGCTCAGTCTTTGTTCCTCCCTTCACCTATGGTCATGAGCTTTGGGTAATGACCGAAAGGGAGCGACGAGATCACGGATACAGTTGGAAATGAGTTTCCTCCGCAGGGTTGTTGGGCGCTTCCTTAGAGACAGGCTGAGGAGCTCAGTTACACGGAAGGAGCTTGGAGCAGAGCTGCTGCTCCTTCACGTCCAGAGGAGCCAGTTGAGGCTCGGGCATCTGTTCCGGATGCCTCCTGGGCCCCTCCCTCAGGAAGTGTTCTGAGCATATCCCACCGGGAGGAGGCCCTGAGGAAGACCCAGGACACGCTGGAGAGACTGTCTCTCTGCTGGCCTGGGAACACCTCAGAATCCCCCAAGGCGCCCCTAAAGGAGCTGGACGAAGTGTCCAGGGTGAAGGAAGTCTGGGAGTCCCTGGCCCCAGTAAAGCGGAAGATAATGGAAGAATTAAGTTAGACAAAGTATAATACACAAATTAATAGGCATTTTCTAAAAGGAAAAAAGAAAGAATACAATTGCATCTAGATGAAGAAAACTGCTCCTTTTTCTCAGTTTTCACAGATTTTGTCAGTTACTATCTCCAACAGAGCCCAAAGGAAGTCGTCATCCGCATGTTTCCAAACGTCTTCCAGTTTTGTGGTGTAAGCTTGAATAGAGTCCATCTCTACCAAACAAATGTAAAAGGTACATGACATGACAAGGGGGGACAGAGCATTCTGATCTTTGGAGATGTAGACAGACTTATAAGGCAGGAATACTCATGTGTGAATGAAACAAAACACAACTCCAGGTCTGTTTTTGATGAGGGAACAACATTCTAGCGTGACTTAAAGCTCACAAGAGTCAATTTTGTGTAAATATAGGACCTTATTTAGCGTAGCGTGTAGTCTGATGTTTTTGTGTTGTTTCTCTGCTTCACTCCAGGTCTGAAGGAGAGCATGCGTCAGGCAGAGCTCAATAACTGGACTCTGGATGCAGCACAGATGGCTGATTTGTGTTCGTCCATAAACCAGTTTTTCGCCGCGACCGGTGTGATCCCCCCACAGAGCGGCTCCCACCCTCCTCACGCCCCGCACCCGTCGCACCCGTCGCACCCGTCGCACCCGTCTCACCCGTCTCACCCGTCTCAGAGTGGAGCGTCCCAGGCACAGCAGCAGCAGCACAGCGGGGGAGGCCTGCACCAGAAGAGCAGCCAGCACAACCAGCACGGACCACACAACCCACACATCAGCACAGGTTTGTAGAGCACTTTAACCAGCGATAAAAGAAATACTCAAGTGTCTCATGTAAGTAAAAGTACAGATACAACTCAATAAAAAGTGACTGAGCATTTTTATATTAGAAATTTTGTCAAAATCTGGTCTTGAAGTGGACACATTTTTCAGTCTTGTCTCGTCTTGTGGTAATTGTCTCGTCTCGTCACACGTCTAATTAGAACTCTTACTTTGGGTCATTATGAAACAGATTCATAATTTTAAAATAATGACGACCTTTCCCTTCATTTCACATTTTGATATAATGAAATTTCAGAGGCGAATGGGTCCGTGATGGTACATGTCACTCCAAAGATTGACTCTCATTTCACATTTTGGGCCAACAGTGGCTCGGTCAGTTTGAGAAATGGTCTCCCATCACAAAGTTTCATCGTTGTCCAATCCAATCCAATCCACTTTATAGCACATTTCATAAACAAACAGTTTCCAAAGTGCTGCACAAATAGATAATAATAAAAACTGTAATGATATAATGATAAAATAAACACTCAGATTTAATCATACTAGTCTTAAAACAATAAAACCAGTAAAATAAAATATGAGCAAAACCATAGAATAGCAATAAATAAAATAAAACCAATAAATATATAAAAAATAAATACACAGACACAGACACAGAAGACCACACAACTCACACTGTGTTAAAAGCCAGAGAATAAGCAGGTTTTAAGATGAGACTTAAAACTCTCCACTGTGGGGGCTGTTCGGACGTGGGAGGCAGAAATTTCCAAAACTTGGGGCTGGTCACAGAGAAGGTCTTGTCCCCCCTGGTTTCAAGTCTCGTTTTAAGTCTTGTTTTAGGCACCACGAGTCTTAGCTGGCCCTCGGACCTCAGAGCGTGCACGGGGAGTGAAAGTTTGGATGAGGTCCAAGACGTACTGTAGGGAGAGTCCATTCAAAGCTTTAAAAACAAACAATAAAATCTTCAATCAGTCAGTCTAAAACACAAAAGGACTGGGGTAATGTGCGCTCTTCTTTGGGTTCCTGTTAAAAGTCGCGCTGCAGAGTTTTGGACTAACTGTAGAAGGTAAAGTGCATTTTATGAGATGCCGGAATAAAGTGTCTTAGAGTAGAACAGGTGTGATGAAATAAAAGCTTGCAAGTTTTGCTCAAAAAGTTTAAAAGATAAAAAAGGTTTACTTCCTCAACACACTTCACCCACATTGCCTAGTCTGAGTGTGTGTGTGTGTGCGTGTGTGTGTGTGTAGGTGTGTGTGTGTGTGTGTGAGTGTGTATCTGTGTGTGTGTGTGATTGGTGGTGGTCAGAGGGGCAGACTTGCTCCTAGTTGTGGCTACAACAGGAGTTGACCCCCTCCGAGTGTGAAGTGAATGAATAATGACAGTGTGTAGAGCTTTGAGAGGTTTTGACAAGACTGTGAAGTATATTTTTATTATTATTATATCATCTAAACAAAAATCTATGTCTATAGATTATTTTAGTGCTATAAATAAGTAAATTCCATTTCATAGATCGACACAGGAGCTGTAGACGCATAAAAAAAACACTGCAGTGTTGTTTTTGATATGTCCAAAATTTGAATATTGAATATGTCGTCCATTAAACCAGAGGTGTCAAACTCACAGACTCACAGAGGCCAAAATTAAAAACTGGGACTAAGTCATGGGCCAAATTAAATATTTATTAAAACATTTCAACAACATCTGCATGTTTTCTCTTTTTTTGAGATATGTAAAGTTAAACCTTTTCTTATTAAAATAAATGTTTAATAATAGTTTTGCTTAAACATTGAATCCAGAACAAGCATAAAATAAAATAATAACACATTTTTAAATAAATAATGTCTCTATAGTCTATCTGTAGCCGGCGGGCAGCTCCAATACATATTTGATATGATCTCGTGGGCCAAATGTAATTATATCACCGACCCAATTTGGTCCCCGGGCCTGAATTTGACATGTCTGCATTAAACTATGATTTTATTTGCAGATTTAGTGGATTTCTGATGGATCGCTACAATATTGTCTGAATATATGTAGGTGAAAAGACCAAAAAGGTTTAGATTCATCTTCATTATCACCCTCCCCTGTACACATACATTAACGTTGATTATTTTCTCTGATTTCTAACGAGTGTAAAACTGTTTCTTCATCTCCTCCTGATCTGAGACTGAGCGATGTGTGAGCGGCAGCACTGAGTCACTGACCTCGTGTCTGTTGTGTGTTTTGTGTGTTTTGTGTGTTTCCACAGGGAGTTTGTACATGGACTCCAGACAGAGCCTGTCTCTGATGGGGCCCCCCGGATACTCCCACCTGCCCCCCCTCAGCAGCACCGCCCCCAGTCTGACAGGTGAACGCCACAGCCCTGCCGCTCTGTCTGCCGGACAAGCTGTTGCACCAAAAATAAACATCGGAATATAGAAAAAAAAATGAAGTACATGTACATAAGTAACATGACATGATTTACTTGGATCAGAATGTGAGAATATATGCAGTATTTGAGTTTATTAGAACTTAAAGGCTCTATATTTCACAAAATTGACCCTTGTGAGGTTTAAGCAAAGTTATAATGTTGTTGCCTCATCAAAAACAGACCTGGCGTTGTGTTTTGTTTCATTCACACGTTTGATTATCCGATTATTAGTCTCCTTTAACCTTTTGTTTAGTAGAGCTCGGCAGTTTCAGAGGTGAAATTATCCAAATGATTCTAGTGCAGGTGTTTGGGCCGTGTACCATTCGTTCTTTTGAATTAAGAACAAAAAACATAAAATGAAAAAACTGTTTGAAATAGTCACAATGTTTGCTTTTTGATTGGTGTTTATGTGGAATAAACTTTAGACTGAGATTTAGATTTAGACAAACTTTATTGATCCACAAAGGAAATTAATTGGACACAGCAGCTCACACATCACAAGAGTAAAAAATATAAATGCTAATAATAAATTCAAAATAATAATACATTCTAAATAAGGGACAGGTGTCAAAATAAACTTTAAATTAAATATTAGAAATAGAAGTTGAAATTTGTTTGACACTAAAAAGGAGTAATGAAATAACGAGCTGTTTTCCCATTTTATTGTGTTCTGTTCTTAATTGAAATTCAAAAGAACGAACGGTACACGGACCTTTTACGTAGTTTAAAAACACAGTGGAGCATCTGTATTACCACATGACATCACGAGGTGGAACAGAGTGTTTTCAGTTTGAGAGGAGAACTCGGCCTAAATGTGCAAGATTTGAGTTTTAAACATGCGTGAATGAAACAAAACACAACTCCAGGTCTGTTTGTGACAAGGAAACAACATTATAATAATAACAAAGATCAGAAAATAGCGTAATATGAGCCCTTTAAGTTAAAACACACGACACAGGAAAATTGTAAATACTGCAGGTACATTCTTTTATCTCATACGTTTACGTCTAGTATTGGTTCAGTAAGAAGAACGTGGGGATTTGTGGAAAAAGAACAAAACCAGGTCTAATTTGACAGTACGTAGAGTGCATTAAGAGAGTAAGAGTATTAAGACAGTATGTGAATGTCGTGAATAAAATATACTCTAAATGAGGGGTCTCCAACCTTTTTCCTCCGGTGGCTACCTTTAGAAAATGAAAATGCCACAGAGATACTAATTTTAGCGGTCACAAGAAAGTATATGTATATATAAGTGTACACTCATATATAAGAGCCACGGAGAGCCTTAGATGAGGTACAGTTAGATGCCTGTAATAAAACATAAACCGTTATCTGTTTATTAGTGTACAAAGTTAGGCATCAAAATGTGTTTATTTATTGTTCATTTGAATAGGGACAGATACACAAACATGGATTAACAATTTTGTATCTGATATCAGGTATCACAGTGTTTATACTCAAGGATAATTCACCTTTAAAGGTCTGTTTAACACTTACAGGTAAAAACGACAGAATATTTTATCAGAAGTGCCTTTCTAAAGCATTGATGTTCATTTTGTCTTCTTATGTACTTTAACTTCTTGAGTTCTTTTTAAAGACATTGCAGTAAAATGTGTTTATCTTGTTGACATGTTTCGGCTGCTGCATCTTCAGAACTGTCACCGGTGTTGGTGGTGACGTGTCGTTGTATCAGCTGTTGTTACTTCCTGTAGGTGTGGTCATCCTGATGGACCTGCAGGTCGCTCAGACTGACCACGCCTCCCGTCGTCTGATGTTCTCTGGAGGAGGGCGTCCCAGGCGTGTGAAAGGAGGAACCCGAGCCCCATCCCAATCCATAATGTGGTTGAAGGAAGGAGGAAGGCGCGTTCTTCCTTTCACACATCTGGGACGCCCTTCTCCAGAAAACATCGGGCGACGGGAGGCGTGGTCAGTCTGAGCGACCTGCCAGGTCCATCAGGTCTGACCACATCTACAGGAAGTAACAACAGCTGATACACGACACGTCACCACCAACACCGGTGACAGTTCTGAAGATGCAGCAGCAGCAGCCGAAACATGTCAACAAGGTAAACACACTTTACTGCATTGTCTTTAAAAAGAACCCAAGTAGTGGAAGTGCCTTTCGTTTAGAAGGTGACGGCGTTTTTGGGGCTTAAAAACGCAAAAATCTGAAACCACCCTCCAGAGTGGAAAAGTTGAATTCACTCCGCCGTAGTGTTTCCGTCTTCACTGCCCAAGACGCAAAACTCTGGTCAGATCTGCTCACGTCGAGTACACGTTTACGTCAGAAACATGTCAGATCATTTCCATGCGTGGGACCTTCAAGCTGCTCTGACACCTCGAATAAACTTACAGGAGGCTCCCCACAAATGTACAGAATATGCAGAGATACTATTAGTGAACAGAGAAGGATCTGCAATCACCTCTGTCCAATTCTGGATGCACCAGTTCGTCGCAGGCGAGTCAGACTACATCGAATTCCACACACGTTTGCATCACCATATGCACTCAGATTTCCTCCTGAAAACACTCGTCTAAACGCGGAATAAAAAGTAAAAACGCGATGCCACTTTTGCGTCTTTTGTTCAGACCGTCATCATATAAACGTAGCCTAAAACATGTAATTGTTCATAGCTACACACGTTTGTTGCTTTTTCAGTTCCGATACTGATTTCGATACAATAGCTTTAAGCATCTGCCGATATCGATACCAGTGCAAAGACAGAAAACAGCATTTAATTCCTTAAAACTCAAATAAAATGAGAAAAAAAAAACTATTGAAATGTGTTATGTGAAGACTCAGGATATAGAAAGAACTGATATTTGGAAACCGATATCTGATCTAGCAAATTTTTCAGTATCAGCAGTAGTATCGATCCCCTGCTCTAACTTAAACGAGATATTAAAGGGACAGTTCAGAATTTTGGACATGGGAGCTCATTTCCTAGTTTGCCAGAGTGTTGGAGACGTGTGGAGACACTTTTTTAAATATTCCATCCAGTCCTTGTATTTGCAGAGGTCGCTGGTCTTACCCACTCCACAAAACACCCGAAACAAATCTATTATTATTAGGCCAGACTGTCGGTGTAAATGTCTGTGTTGATAGAATAATTTAAAACATAAAACCAACCTTGCATTTGAAGGATTCATGTCCGAGCAGCAGCAGCGAGTTGTACTTTCTGTGTTATTAGGTTCTTTTTGCAGAGTTTGTTTTCATACCTGACAGTTTCGACTGCTCACTCCGGTCTTCCTCAGAGTCACGTGATGTTGCTGTGACGTGTCCGCTCAGCCGATTTAAACAGGTTTTGGCGCTGTCTTCCTACCGATGGAGGCAGGACGACAGCGCCATCTGCAGTCCCACTTCCTCAGGACAGTATCCCAGGTGTGTGAGAGTAAAAAAGCCCCCTCGTCCCGGTTTATAATCCCGTGGGCACGTTTCCGTATTTTAATTGCCTCTTTAATCCAGCGACGGTGTTTGTTTTCCTCTGTCCCAGTGATGTTTGCTCCGTTCCAGTCTGTAGTGCACCAAACAGAAAGGCAAAAAAAACTGGGCCCGACTGGGGGTAACTCAAAATCAAACTGAACAGAACAAAACTGACCCAACCAGACAAAGGAACAGGGCTGTTTAAATACCTGAGGACCAACTAAATCTGAACACAAGAGGGGGGAATTACACAAAATAATTAACTAAACTACTAACTTAATAAAAGTAACAAGAAGGCAAATAATTATAATACAGAAAATAATAAGTGATAATAAAGTGACCTTAAAGCAAACTAAACAAACTAACTTAATAAAACTAACTAAATAGTGCTCCCTCCCCCCGTTGCTGAGTCATGATGGTCTCTCCCAAGGGTCCGGTGATCAAAAAAATAAATAAAAAAACGAACAAGTGTAAGTAAATCAGACTTATATTAACTAAAATGTGTGCACTCAAATTAGAATATAAGTGTAAATAAAGGAATTAAATGATGTGTAAGGTAATTAGGTAGAGGCAGACGTATCCACCACACAGTCCATAATGTGGTTCTGTCTTTTACATTGTTCACAAATGGCCAATTTGAGTTGTTCCTGTTCTGCTGTTTAATTGCTCGGGTGCACGCTTTCGCTCTTTCCTTCTCGCGTTCTGTTCTGTGTTCCTTTTTTCGTGTACTGAACGCCCTCCCTGAGTTGTACTTCCTGATAGAAAGTTTGAAAAAATAGTCCCTCAACATGCGACGATTCATGCGACGCAAGGTTAGTTTTATTTCAAACATTATTCTATCGAAACAAACATTTACATCGACAGTCTGGTGTAATACAACCTCAATTCCAATGAAGCTGGGACGCTCTGTAAAATTTACAGAATACAAAATACCATGAATCCTTTTCAACCTATATTGAACTGAATAAACTACAAAGACATGATATTTAATGTTCAAACTGATAAACTTTATTGTTTTTATGCAAATATTCACTCATTTTCAATTTGATGCTTGCAACACGTTCCAATAAAGCTGGAACAGGGGCAACAAAAGAATGGGAAAGTTGAGGAATGCTTAAAATCCACCTGTTTGGAACATTCCACAGGTGAACAGGTTCATTGGAAACAGGTGAGTGTCATGATTGGGTGTAAAAGGATTTTCCCCGAAGGGCTCAGTCATTCACCAGCGAGGATGGGGCGAGGTTCACCACTTTGTGAAAAACTGTGTGAGCAAATAGTCCAACAGTTTAAGAACAACATTTCTCAACGTACAGTTGCAAGGAATTTAGGGATTTCATCATCTACGGTCCATAATATTATCAAAAGATTCCGAGAATCTGTAGAAATCTCTGCACGTTGGAATGTTGGAACGTGTTGCAGACATCAAATTGAAAATGAGTGAATATTTGCATAAAAACAGTAAAGTTTATCAGTTTGAACATTAAATATCATGTCTTTGTAGTTTACTCACTTCAATATAGGTTGAAAAGGATTTGCGCATCATTCAGACCTGCAAACTTGTCGCTTTTCAGCTACAATCACCTTTTTGTTGGTCAGTTCGGTCGACGTCTACTGGAAGAAAACACACACATCAGCTGCTACCGGCTTTTTTGTCATCTCGGTTTGTCATTACGCATGGAAATACAAACTGGGGAACAGCGGTCCAAACCCAGATTCCTGAACCATCGGGGAGCAGCTATGGTTCAGGTCGTGCCCAGATGAGCTGGAGTGGGGAGTGGTGTTAGGTGCCTCGGCCTGAGAAGCACTTTCCCCAGGAATAACCAAATGAACAAAGGACGGACCGCTCAGAACAAGATATAACCAAACAAACAGGATTCTCGCTTCTGTCTGGATGTTTTGCACCTCAGAACCAGCCGCAGTCCTCAAGCACGGAGGACAGGAGCAACCCGCCCGGACCTGTAATCCTCAGCACATTCTCACTTTCGCCACATGGATCCTGTGCACAGAGGACGGCACGGAACCACTCGGAACCAGTCCATTTCGCACTGGTCTTGTTTGCCCAGTCTGGAAACTAATTCGGCTTTCACTAGCTAGGACCACGCCAACAACAACATAGTGCGAAGAAGTTTATTGATAATGTACGAAGTGAGGCAAAGATGGTTGGGTTGAGACTTAGTTGGGGGCTCCGTCTCAATCTACAATTGGCCCAGCCGGAACGGGACCTGTAGGGGTCTTATGACTGAAAGACAAAATAGGGGATGGGAGGATGGGGTCGAGTTGCCGAGACAAACTGGGATGATGGGAAAGGCTGCTACATATAGACTTCTGTGAAATTAGAGGCGTGGTGGAGGTGAGTTGTGGTTCGCTGGTGAGAGGAGAGGGCGACTGAGACGTGGTCCTGCTCCTGAATCTCAGTTAATCATATTAACAACATTTAAAATCGGTATAAACTAGGGATGGGCATGATTAATCGATTAATCGATAATTGATCATTAAGAATTTCATCGATTACGTTAATTTTAATCGACAAACCGAATGTAGGTTGCTGTGCGTAGCGTGACCAAACAGGGGTCTGTACATGTGTCTCTGCATCAGAAGGAGCGAGACACAAACAGTCGGTCAGTCTGCAGCGTACCGAAACACAAATGTGTATTTAACGATGATTTGTACAAGAAATTCCACGCTTTCTGTTGCGTTCGGGACAAGTGGGAGTCCTTTTGTACAGTGTACAAAGCAGCACATATGTTTCAGTGTCCAGTGGGAAAAAGTTTTACCAGGTGAGAGTCGCTCAATGTCGATGACGAGTCCCCACCTCCCTCCCCCCGTACAGTGTCCTGGTTTTGACAAACGCAAATATGGTCACACTAACCTGTATTCCACTGAGTCATGTCTTTTAATCCTGACAGAAATTGACCGCATCAGCGACACAAGAGCTGTAGTTTTATCTTCGCTGAGTTTATGCAAATTAGCGATGCGGTTTTAAGTTTCGTTTCTGTGAGAGTTGCACAAAACTGAATTAAACACATTATAATGTCAAACAGGCTGATGTGGCTCTAGAGTCGTTACGGTTTATATGTCGTAAAGTTGAATTTATTTATGCAGATTAGTAGTGCAGATAGTAATAATAATGATGATCATTTTAATATAAAAACATTAATGATTAATCGATAATCGATTTCATCGAATGCCCATCCCTAGTATAAACCACCCACTTAATTTAAGTTTAATTCCGAATAATCATTAGGAATTTAGTGTTTACATGGTCTTTTTAAAGCATAATTATTTTTTATTCCGAATAAAATAATTTTTCATCAGAATTAAAGCTCATGTAAATGGGGCCTGTTTACATGAGATCACCCCCCCAGTTCACCACCGCCGGACACTGTCACCTTTTTTCCTCTGAGGAGTTTGCAGGTCTGATCATTGTATTCTGGTTTGTTTTTTTAAGTTTTACACAGCGTCCCAACTTCAGTGGAATTGTGGTTGTAATAGGTTTGCTTCGGGTGCTTTGTGGAGTGGGTAAGACTGTTTAAAACTCACCCAGATGATGCCTGCGTAGTGTGTACTCATACCATATTTGTTGTTCTTCTCCCTCCCCAGGCCACCACAGTCAGCTGACCCAGCCCCAGCCTCACTCTCTGGGCCCCGGACACTTCCAGGTGAGACGCATGCTCACCACTGATGACATCCAGGACGATTTCGACTGGGACTCCATTGTCTAAAATAACGCAAAACTGCAACAAAAAACACGAAAAATACTAAAGAAATACTCAAAAACTACACGTGATTCCTGGGGACATGCTACCGCCGCAAGGAAACTGAAGACAATCCGAGTGACACAAATGGATTTCAGTTTGAAGACAATCATTTGGGAGAGATTACAAACTCGAAGTGTAAAAATATCGTCCAAAGCGCAAAGGATTGTGGGGTTGCGTCGCCGTTGACAACAGGGTTAACTTCCGCCAAGATGTTGTCCAAACATATGTGAAGTTCTCATGCTCTTTTCAGACCCCTAAAAGTATTTTTGCAGAGGAAATGACTGTCGTAGGGAACCCAGAAATTTTAACTGCAACTTAAATGATTATTTTCATTTGCGTTTCTGTTGTTAGCATCTCAGTACGGAAGATAATTTGTTCCATTGGATTTTTAATTTTAAATACCACTGAAAAAACTGAAAAAACATGTTTGAATTGTTTTTCATTCAATTTTAAGTGTACATTAATTCAAAAGAAAAAGACTCACCTTTTAAATATTCAGCACAAATATTTTCAAATCTCAAATTCAACAGTTAAAATTCAGATTGTAAAAATTCGCAGTGAAAAAAATTTGCAGCAATGATCCAAGATGACAAGACAGAAGCAAACGATCTAAAGTGATCCTATCTGACTTAGTCACAACAGGAAATGGTGCAGTGAAGCGATCTGATTGGTCAGAATTAGCCTCATTAAAACCTCAAGCCCCGCCCACATATGAGAACCAATAAGAAACCGTCTCTGTCCTCCTCACTCACGATCGATTGCTTCTGCCTTGACATCTTGGATTTTTGCTGTGGAATTTTTCTTTGTGAATTTTCCACTCTGAATTTTGACTGTTGAATTTGAGGCTTGAAAATATTTATGCCGAATATTTAAAAGGTGACATTTTTATTTTAAATTTATAACATATTAAAAAAGTATACTTACAATTTCAGCAACTCAAATAAAAAAAATAATAATAATAATTCAAACGTGTTTTAGGGTTAAAAAATTCAAAGCGACAAATTCAGCTGTATTTAAAAATTTTAAATCTGACAGAACAAATGATCTTCCATATCTCAGACTCTATATTGCAATGGTACAGGTCTTTTTTAATATATATATAATTTAACGTTTTTAATTTAGATTTTTTAAAACAAAAACATAAATAGAAAAAAACAAAAAAAACTCCTACACCCAACCAACTCTCTCCATACTTCAGAGTCCAATTTGTTAAGTATACTCACACAAAAAAAAATAAAATAAATAAAAATAATAATAATAATAATAATACATAGATAAATACATAAAAAATAAAATAAAATAATAATAATAATAATACATAGATAAATAGATAAAAAATTAAATAAATAATAATAGGTATTCAAAAATCAAGAGTCCCATCAAAATGTTTACAAAATGGTCCCGTTTTCTTAACACGTATTCAGGATTTGCCCCAATTTTTTTTATACTTCAACTGATAACATTGCAAATAATACGTGACAACGCATTTAAGTTCCTATTTTTTATAAACAATAGAAAGAAGTTATCAAAGTTCCTCCGTGTACGTCACACTGCACACAAAATAAACCACAAATAAAACATTAAAATTATTTGTTTTTATTACAGTTCAAAATTGGATGGCAGAGTGTTCTATAAAATCTGTAAAACAAACCCAGCAGGACTTCTTTCAACATTCACCGCTCAGAAAAATTAAATTAAGACTTTGAAAAGACATCAGATCTCAGTGTGGGGAAAAAAATGGACATTGCATCTATACAAATGACGAACAAAGGGATGCCGCCGCTTTTATCCGATGTGTTTTCGAAGTGTTCTCTTAATTTTTTTGCGTGCAGTGTAAATTTCATATGTTCTAATTTTCTTTTCTACAAAGCCCGGTTTGAAGGACTAGTGAATGGCACCACCTACTGAACCGTAAAGGTACTGCAGTGGTCCCTCTAATATTTTTCTTTTCTGTTGTTTTTCAAGGTCACATTGGAGCCTAATCACAGTCTGCTCCAGCGGTTTGTTTATTATGTCCTTATTTTCAGTCAATACGACACAACTCTAAACTACACATTTGCTAGTCTCATCGTAATCATAGTTAAAGCTGCACTGTGTAACTTTTCGCCTGGGAGTCCGTCACCTGCTTGGTTCTGTGTGTCATTGCTCTGCTTCGAATGTCCCACAGTGTGACATTAAACAGCTCTACTTTACGTTCATTCAATTACAGGTGGTTTTATTGCGCAAAAATGTTGTGATTGGGGTCGCCTCTCCGCAGATCTGACCTGTAACTTGCTCTTATTTGGTCTCCGTGATGATTGAAAGGTTTAATGCCATACTGTGAAACATTCCAGACCAAAGCAATAACATCTCCATGAAAGAAAAGCATTTACTGAACCCTTCACCAGAAAACGTTCACAGTCGTTCATAGTTACACACACGTTTGCTGCTTTTTCAGTTCCGATACCGATTTCGATACTGTGTCTGCCGATATTCGATACCAGTGCAGAGACCGAGAACAGCATTTACTTCCTTAAAACTAAAATAAAATAAGAAAAAATGGATTGAAATGTGTTATGGAGAGACTTTCTGTGCGACTATGACTAGAAAATAGTCTCATTACATCAATTTATATGTCCAGCCAGGATAGACTTTGACAAACTTTATTGATCCACAAGGAAAATTATTTGGACACAGTAGCTCACATATCATAATATATTATAATAAACAAGAGTAAAAAGTATAAACAGTAATATAAATTCTAAATAAGTAGCAAAAAAGAGCAAGAGACAGGTGTCAAATAAGTGCAAATGTGCAAATCAAAATAAAATAGAAAGATGAGTACCGTATTTTTTGGACTATAAGTCGCTCTGGAGTATTGGTTGCACCAGCCAAAAAATACCTAATGAAGAAGAAAAAAAACATATATAAGTTGCAATAGGCTATAAGTCGCACTTTTGGGGGGAAATTTATTTTAGAAAATCAGAGACCAGGACCAAGTTAAAGTAATAACAACAGAACAGAGAACAACAGGCTGTTAACATCACATATGAACAGTTCTTCAGATAATTATAACATAAACAACAGAACAAGTTTACCTAACTCTTGGTCTCATTATAGAATTTAGCTGCATAATTTCTTGCGACCTCTAAAACTGGTATTTCTCTTGCGTTTCTGGTTTAACTCACTAGAAGAAAAGGGTTGGAGAGCCCTGGACTAGATCACATGACTATAATAATGACCATGGATAAATTAAATCAGGATATTCTTGTGAATCTGGATCACGGTCTGACTTCTGTACCATTGCATTATAGAGCCTTCATCTGTCCTTCAGTTATAATCTAGAGTCTATCTTACCCTTAGTCCAGCCATATTCGAACTACTACCACTGTGTTTACAGGTGTTTTTACGGTGCTTCGAGACCTTTACGTCACTCACAACATTCAACACTCCCTCATTTATAAGCTAACAGATACAGAATGCTATGGAATAATAACATCAGAGATCACTTTATTAGGGATGGGACAAGACGCAGTTTCCACAAGACGAGACACACCCAGAGATTAGGTCCACGAGAACGAGACAAGATGAAATTTTGGCATAATTTGTAATAAATAAGTAGTGCAAGTAGTACCCATTGTAGTACTGCATGCTTTTTGGAACTACAGCTTCTCAAATTCTTTTTAGTCCAAGTTAAAGGTAAATTCAGGGGGAAAAAATCTCACGGAGGTCATTTTTCTTATGTGTGCACGATCTTGTGGCGTGAGATCTCGTCCCAATTCCTACACTTTATGATATTTGAAATGAGTTTTTTTGGGTTGCTGACGTTTGCGGTGGAATCTGAGTTGTAGGAATGGGACGAGATACGAGAATAAGACAAGACTTTAGACCTTATAATTTTGGATTTGTTTGATTTCATATTTTTGTTTCCATTCTAGCACTGCTTTTTTGGAATTGTTAGAGATGAAACTCACCAAAACGTAAACGTAAACACTTGGAAAAAATAATCTCACAAGGTAATTTTTGTCGTGTGTGCACAATCTTGTGGCAATTTGGTCTCGCGAGATCTTGTGGCGCGAGATCTCGTCCCATTCCTACACTTTACGATATTTGAAATCAGTTTTTTTTGGGTTGCTGACGTTTGCGGTGGAATCTGAGTTGTGGGGATGGGGCGAGATACGAGATTGTGTCCACGAGAATGAGACAAGACGAGGCTTTGGACCTTATAATTTTGGATTTATTTGATTTCATATTTTTGTTTCCATTCTAGTTCTGCTTTTTCGAACTGTTAAAGATGAAACTCACCAACACGTAACCTTTTTTTTTGACCAAACCAAATATGAACACAAAACGTAAACACTTGGAAAAAATAATCTCACAAGATAATTTTTTTTCATGTGTGCACGATCTTGTGGCCATTTTGTCTCGCAGGATCTTGTCCCATTCCTACACGATATTTGAGATCTTTTTTTTAGGTTGCTGACATTTGCAGTGGAATTTGAGTTGTAGAAATGGGACGAGACACAATTTCCACAAGAGAGTGGGTTCACGAGAACGAGACAAGACGAGATTTTAACATAATTTCTAAAATATAAATTTCATGATTCAGTTTCCAATTTTGGCCTCACAAGTTTGGATTTATTTGATTTCATATTTTTGTTTCCATTCTAGTACTGCTTTTTGGAACTTTTAGAGATGAAACTCGCCAACACGAAAGCTTTTTTTGACCAAATCAAATTTAAACACTTGTAAAAAAAAAACTCACAAGATAATTTTTCTCATGTGTGTGCAATCTTGTGGCCATTTTGTCTCGCGAGATCTTGTGGCGCCAGGTCTTGTCCCATCCCTACACTTTAAAATACACTTTACAATATTTGAAATCAGTTTTTTCGGTTGCTTACAGTTGAAATGGAATCTAAATTGTAGAAATGGGACGAGACACAATTTCCACAAGAGACTGGGTCCACGAGAACAAGACAAGACGGGATTTTTAACATAATTCCTAATATAGAAATTTCACGATTCAGTTTCCAATTTTGATTTGATTTCATATTTTTATTTAGTTCTGCTTTTTAAAACTGTAAGAGATGAAACTCACCAATACATAAGCCAAATGTAAACATTGGAAAAAAAAACCTCATAAGATAATTTTTTTGTCACGATCTTGTGGCAAATTTTTGTCCCATTCCTACATTTTACAATATTTGAAATCAGTTTTTTGGGTTGCTCAAAGTTGAAATGGAATTTAAATTGTAAGGATGGGACAATTTCGTCAAGACGAGACAAGATACGAGATTGAGTTCATGAGACAAGACGCGATTTTTACATAATTCTTAATATAAATTTCATGATTCAGTTTCCAATTTTGGCCTCACAAGTTTGGATTTATTTGATTTCATATTTTTGTTTCCATTCTAGTACTGCTTTTTGGAACTTTTAGAGATGAAACTCACCAACACGTAACCCTTTTTTGTCCGGTCCAAATGTAAACACTTGAGAAAAAAATCTCACAAGATCATTTCGCGAGATCCTGTCCCATTCCTACACTTTACGAGATTTGAAATCAGTTTTTTGGGTT